CAGCTGTAGTGAAAAGTTGAGGTGAGAATAGACTATGGGAGAGCAACACAAACTTTTCCCTAGTCATAGGACACTGAATGCATGCTGAACCCCAGCAGCAGGAACAGCGCAGATGACAGATGTTTTATCTTATCCCTTGATCCCTCCCAGCTAACATATTCCAGTGGCCATCTCCTTGAAAAGCAACTCCACTGCTGCAAAAGATCCTGCATCCTCGCTGTCCTTTGAAAATACAATTGTAGTCTATTGTAATTCCTGCAACATGCAAACAAGGGAGAGGCTGATTTCTGCAGTGTTTGACCACCATGTAAAAAGGGCTAGATTGTGGCCTAGTGCCACAATTTGAAAGACACATAAGTCACACCTATGCAAAGTCTCCATGAGTGGTAAATACAAAAGGGTGTGAAAGAATAGGAAGAGAAGCTCCAGAATGCACACAAGAGAAGCAAACATCAACAATCAAAAATAAGGAACAGAAACAAAAAGGACATGCAAAACAAGACAGCCAAGTCTTTAGTCCTCCTGGATGTCACCCAATCAGCTTTCAGAGAGGGAGAGAGCCAGGGAAAAGGCGCTGCTTCCACGCATGCAGTCATGTGGGAGCGTTACTTGTGTTAGTTTTGTTTGTCCTGGCAAAACCCAGCCCAAATCCTTTCCTGGTGGTGATACAAGACGAGAAGGCGATTTCAGAATAGATCAAAAGAAAAAGAGCGGGAGAAAAAGCTAGTTGCTTTCGGGGCTTCAAAATGATTTGTTGACTTGCCGAGGAAAAACCAGCAGGGGCTTTCCCCTCTTTTTATAGTAAGCACAGAATATTAAGTAAAGTTTCAAAAAAATCAGTGTTATGGAGTTTTTTTTTTTCACTACCACAAGCTTTACCAATCTCTTTTCCACACATGGCAAGGGCCAGTCTTTTGCTTCTTGATTGCCTGCAGTTCACCAGCAACTGTTACTGTTACAATGATTTCAGATCTCCAGAGAGACAGATTCCCTCGCCTGCCTCTAACAGATACTGTGTGGGAGGAAATCAGATGCTCTGGCAAGAGATGTGCAACAGTAGATCTGATGCAAACAGTGTGAAATATTGCTTCTCATCATGTACTCTGAGTATGTCAATACATGTGTTACTTTCTAAAAACACAATTCCTACTCTAGCGATGTTTAAGTTTTACTCATGCTAGAGAAATTCTCTTTTAAAATCACAGTAGGAGGTTCCTACCAATGACTAAGTTTCAGAGAAAAGGATGTTCTGATGCTTTTGGTAGGCTACTAAAGTGCATAGCTATGGAAAGAGTACTTTTGCAGGAACTGAATTAGTACGGTAAATGTAAAAATGTTGCTAAGGCAACAGAAGGCATATAGGGCGGTTTATATCACCTGAGTATTGCTCACATGGATTAGTAGTCTGAAGTTAGCACACTGGTCCCTCAAAAGAAAAAAGGATTTTGCCCACCATTTTTAAGGGCACACAGGCTTGTAGATCATTACAATGGCACGGTCTGTTGGATTCTGGCAATGAAAGAAGCAAATGATTGAGCCACATTAGTTTTGTCTTTCTTTTCCCCCAAGTTTAAGGCTCCTTCAAGCTCAGTACAGAAGACCAGAGTTTAGTTTGTCACATGCAGACAGTGATGAGCAGTATCTCTGCTGGCTTTGGAGCAACAGAATTTGGAGGTCCCTCATTGCTGGGCAGAGGGGATCCTCCCCCCAGGGGTAGTCAACCAATCAGAACAAAGTATTTTACCTTCTGTTCACCAGCGTGGACGACATCATCAGCACCATGCAAGCCACATGACAAAGTCACATGATACGCACGCACATGATTGGTTGAAAGGAAAGTGGAGGAGGTCACATGGAAAATACAAAAAATTAAAAAACTGATGTAAACAATGGGCAAGGGAAAAATCAACAACAGATTTACAGACTAAGCAAAACAGAAACAAAATTAAATTAGCCAGCATACATCAGAAACACTGGGGAGACAGTACAGTTGCCTGAAAATATAAGAATATTAAACCACAGGAAGCACTGAGTTATGACTCCGTGAGTGTTAGGCACGGCTGCATCACTCTTTATTAATACCAAATCAAGGAAGAAACAAAAATTATTGTGGAGAAGGACTGGGCCCCAGAACCTGGGCAGCTGAAGGAATCCACAATGCTGCATACAAGACTGTTGAAAGAAAAAGCCAAAACACGTTATTCACAAACAAGTCAGGCAGCAGAGGTGAAGTGGTCCAAATTATAGTCCACACAGATCAGTGAGGACCAATTTCATTCTGATGTAGTCTCCTTTCTGCAGGAACAAACATCTTCCTAGATATTAACAGCAGCAATGACCAAGACATATGAAAACCTACAGTGTGTAAACATTTCCAAGGATAGAGCTATGGATCAAAGAGCTGCCATGGCATTTGATCAGTCTAACAGTTACTACTGAAAATGCATGAGCTCCATCCAACCCAGTGCCAATTTCCTGCCGTTGAATGTAGCACATTAACGTACTGCAGGACAACCCAGAATCGGAGAAGTATGTCCGCTGTTTACAGAAACAAATCATACATACAAATAACAATGAGTCAGTGAAAGGCCAAATCTGCTTCCATTCAGTATAAAAGCCTGAGCTTTGACGCGGGACGAGACGGGATGGGACGGGTGGAAAATGTTTATTGTGAACCAGTTTTTAAACTTTTACTATCTTTTCTGGGTAGAAAGGCCCATTCTTTTTAAAGTAATAGAGAATGTTGCACAAAACATGAACACCGCATTTTCTCTTACAAGCAAAGTTATCTCCTAGTCTCACATATGTGAACCAACACAATGGGAGTCCCTACTTCCTAAAGGAAGGATGAAATAAGAAATATTAGGAGAACTGCTTGTTGTCATCCCTTTCTTTTCTCTCCTCTCTCTATCCCATCCCCAAACCACCATTAGAATGAAAAGTCGCCCTCAGCAGTACAGAATCACTGCCAAAACAGAAATGTTCAATTCAAATGAAGATGTAGAATTCAATGAATTCGATGAAAACGAAATGTAGAATTCAAATTCTACATGTCATATACATGAAAAATACTGCAAGGAGGAGAGTGTTTGCTAGGGTCACAGGCAAATAAAGGGACATTGCATGTAATTATCTTATCACAGAGTGTACAGCACTGTTTTAGCAGTACTAGTCTCCCCTGCTCTGTCCCAGGGCCACATGCTTCATGCTTTTAGCATTTTCTGGTTAGAGGTGATGGCCTATATCATCTGACCCACCCCAGGTAAACACGGCTTTATCTCAAAAGTCCTATTGACATAAACACATACCTTGTATTACTGCAAACCAAAAGAAAAGCATTTGGGTTTCTAGCAGTGATTAGTTGTACAAAATACACTCACATGCAAGGAAATCTACATCGTGTTGAAGTGTTTTGTGTTATCTTCTAGGACTGTGTTGCAAATCGTTTGCTTGCTTTGTGCATGACCTGACCTATTACAAATGTCCTGCACTCCTAACTATTAGTACAGGGCCAGCACCATTGGTAAGATGAGGTAATACTACCTTCCTCCTGCAGAGCTTTCTCCTGCAAGATATTCTACCTCCTCATTACGGTCTTCATTTACATCTTCTGTCCAATATTAACTGTCTTTCGCTCCCTAAATCTATAGAAAAGAGGGTTAAGGAAGGATATCAACAAGATATCTAGTCCATTTTCCTCGTACAAAAGCAGCTTTTAATCTAAAATCATTTATGAAGAATAAGGAAAATGTTCTTCTTCGAAACAATCACTTAAATTCTCTTCTTCCCGCCCCTTTATTATTCCTCCTTCTATATACCTTCTAACAGTTGCTGCCACATGCTTGGTAGGACAACAGGACGAGGAAGGGCAGTACCATGCCAGGTTCTTAATGCCTCTTGGTAGGACAACAGGACGAGGAAGGCAGTACCATGCCAGGTTCTTAATGCCTACCTGCTCACGTAATCCTTCACTGCCAGATTTCTGGTTAACAAATATCAGAATAACATAGTATAGTGCCTTCATTGCCTCAATAGAAGGGCTACAAGCATAACAAGTAGCACTCAGCAACAAAGGGGAGCAGTTCCCATCTACTCCCTTGGTGGCTCTGGGCTTTCAGATTCAGTAAGAGGCTGAATTGCTATGGAAACATGAAAGATAGATTGGACATGTAACGGTGAGCATAGGATGAAAAATACATGAGAGGTGGAGGCAGGGGCTATAGGAAGGAAATCCTTCCTAGGAGGAAGTGAAGTCTAACGAGGAGGGAGCGAGAACAATGATTATCACAATGAATCCATATGTCAGATGTGTTTTACCTGAAGAGCTGACTGTGCTGCTCCCCATTCTCCATGGGGAGAAATCTGTCATCTAATGCAGGCCATCCTAGGTCATAGAGAAGTAAACCCGAGCTGCAGGGGTCCTGCAGTACGCCAGCCCTCCAACAGTCCTCACGGATGACTTCATCCACGAGTGTTTTAAAGCTCTCAATCCAATTTCAGCAACAGCAACAGCATTTTTGTCTGATTTTATCCCAGACAACAACTTAGGTTGACTTAAAAACCTGACACTAGCCATTAAGTACTGGAATTTCTAGGAGGCCCCCTACAGCAGCATCCGTCTCTACTTTACACCCAGATGCAGCTACAGAAAAGGTGGGAGCAAGGAATAATGAGAAGCTACCCTCCCGATATACAGTTCTTCCACACCTTC